GCCAAATAAAGTTGAAGAGCATTGAGGACCCACAACTCATAGACAGCTTAGGTAATCTATTCCTGGGGTAGAAATTTTTTACCATTTCGAACAATTAAACAGTTAATTTATAAATATAACCATATCAATGATATTTCATATCAACACAGAAGTGTTTACTACTGGTCTCGTGATACCCTTGGGGATGACACCTCCAGCTGCACTGACACCGACCCAGGGTTGTAAAAAACTCAACAAAGATACCAGGCTTATAACTTTTTATCGCCAGACACGCGTTTCAACTACAAAGACTCATTAGTGACGCTCGAATAAAAATGTTAAAAGGCCAAATAAAGTACGAAATTGAAGAGCATTTAGGACCCCACAATTCTGAAAGGTTTTAGCAAATACAGCTACTGTTAGGTAATCTATTCCTTGAGTAGAAAATCCTTATCAATGATGGTCATGTTAATACAGATATGCTGACTACAAGACTGGCGATACCATCGTGGACGAAACCTCCACGACATTGAAGAGCATTGAAAACCAAAAATTTCAAAAAGTTGTGCAAAATACGACTAATGTTATGTATACCCGAGGGTAGAAAATTCTTAGTGTTTTGATTGCATCAACATTTTGTTAACAGCACATTTACAAAAAAATAGCGTATTTTTTATGTCGATACAGAAGTGGTGACTACTGAGCTGGTGTACGAAAGGTCCACCAGCAGTCGTGTTGATTCAATAGCTGTGAAAACTTATCAAAGATACCATTCTTATAACATGGTACGCCTGTCGCGCGTTTCGTCTACATCAAATTCATCGGTATCGCTCGATTACAAATAGTTGAAAGGTAAAAACAAGGATGAAGTTAAAGATCATTTATACCAAAAATTCTAAAGAGTTGTGCAAGATACGATTTAGGTTATCTTTGCCTGGTGGTAGAACATCGTGAATGTTTTACGCCGAACGTCGCAATATTTCAGTCGATGTACCTAAATTGAATACATGAAGTAATTTGGACCATTTACTGTATAATATGCATATATTTTGGAGTTCGAATTACAACTTTATTCATGGAATTTTAATTTTTCTTTTAATTAAACAATATTTAGATTTTGATTTCAAACTTTGAAGAACTTTTCAGGTCGAACTTGGGAACTTTCGACAATAAGGCCAGATTATTTATATATTGTTGATATTATTTATTTGACTCGTTTTTGTCGTTTAATTATCAAATATACAGGTTTTTTTTCACGTTACGTAATATTTTCTAAGCAGTGCACACAAATATCTGTATGTAATAAATAATTCATATGCTACTAGATTGGAAAACTTCTTATAAATAAGACATGCAGAATTTGATTCGAAATATCTTGTGAAGTTCGCAGGAAGTAACTTTTTCAAACATCATTTTTGTTTCGTTGAAATAGTACTGTTGGTTTTTGATAACATACTGCTTGATATGATTTCTGGATGTTTTGGACTAGATCAGACCAGCCTATGATTGGTCCGATATCATTTTCACTACATACTTCTTGAAAGTAATCGAAATTTATATTTTTGAGACTGAAACATATTTTTTGAAAAATTTTGTATTTCAAACAAGGTCTTGAATCGAAATTTTAATCTTGATTTATTTTTACTATTTTTGTCTAATGGAGAGATATATATTTATTCTTTATACCGGTATTATTAACAAATGTTATACCATTAACGGTACCCATTGTGCACCAGATGCGCATTTTGACAATTAATGTCTCTTCAGTGATGCTCAAGGCCAAAATATTTGATAGTCCAGAACATAATACCGAAATGAAGAGTTGATAAACAAAAAAGGAAAATAAGTTGAGCCAAATCCGGACAAGGAATCAGAGCTATGCACGAGAGAGATAAATTCCTGAATTAAAAACGATTTCAAAATTTTATAACAGCAAATTTAAACAGAACAATATCCGTATTTTGAAGCCAAACTATACCGAAGAACTAGATACTGGGATTATGATACCTTCGGGGAGTAACAGTCCACCAGCAAAGGTATCGAACCAGTGGTAGTAGTAGCATTTACAGTATCAATTTTATTGCACCAGACGCGTATATCGATTGTAAAATCTCCCTTGTATCGACAATTATAATTTTGATTTCATTTACAGCTCAAAGAAAGATAACTGTGATTTGTTTTCCTATTTCAGTCGCTCTTTAAGAAATCTTGAAAGTCGTGAATCATTATTGAGTTTTACAAATCTTTAGGTGTTCACTTTGTCGATAGTCATTCAACAAATTAAAAATAAAAAGTATGTATATTTCCACAGGCCTAAGTACGAAAGCCCAGAAGGATCATGCGAGGAACAAAGTAAATAACTTGATGTTCAGAAAGAAAGAAATGTGAGATAGAAATGTTTTTAAACGGATAGGTGGTTTGAATTTTTTGTGATGCTAAACTTCTGTTTTCGTTTTGTCTCAAGGTTATTTTGAATCGGTTTACATTGTATATAATTACATTACATGTATGATTCATTATAATACGTTATTTTGATTGGCTAACAGCAACCTCGCGTCATTCTGAAATTAACCTTCATTTCAAATTGAAATGTAACATTCATGATGACACAAGCTTCCACAAAAAAGTGCACAGGTAAATAAAAGAAAACTTGCTAGAAATCGTGTTTTCATGATCCTAGCAAAAAACTGTAATTATAAGTATTGAATGCTTCTTTGAGTAATTTTATAGGGTTGTAAATGCGTTCACCGTATGCACATTTTTAGAATGAAGCGATTCCGCGCTTCATACAAAATGTACCTCGGTCAACGCTTTTACACCCCAATGAATTTACAAAAAGATGCATTCAATTCTTAAATAATGCCCTGTGATAATAAGAAACTTGTTGATATTGTTTTCTTGCATTTTTAAACCTTAATCTCCGTAAGTACATTAATTCAATTGTTGTAAACTAAATTTATATCAAAATGCGTGTATTTGTTCTGATAAATGGTCAAAGAAGATGATGCACTAAGGGCCAAATTTGACCCATAAAAGTTTAATATTACATAATCAGAGGAGTTCGTTGTTGGTTGTAAATAAATGTAAATGTATGTGCAAAGTTTAAACTTTGAAAAATTATGAATATTTACGGAGATTGTCGAAAGATAGCATTATTTTAAACTTTCTACCATTGATCACTAATTTTGCTTTATTTCACACATAATTGTGATTTGCAAATATTGAGCACATGCAAAAACCACAAAAATATTTACATAACAGGTGTTGTTCATACAGACACACATTGTGGTAATTTATTTAGTTGGTTCTTTCATGTGATCTTATTTGCGGGTCCAGAAAAATATTTTGGTTACTCGAACTAATATTTATAGGAATATCATATTTCCTTTATTAAAGTTATACACAGGTGCCTAAATGTGTCTGATGGTAACAATTATGTAATGTTTAATTTTATTTTTTTATCAAATTCGTTGAAAATAGTGTTTTGTGGAATGTTGTTTGCCTTTTCGTCTTGTTTCGTGTTTTGCTATAGTATTGTCGGTTTAATATAAAATTAAAAAAAAACCAAACAAATGAAAGTACAATTAATTTTTAACTACCGTATACTTCGACTGATGCGGATAATGTGAACAAATTCACATTACAACAAAAACTTCCTTTGCCTATGTCATGAACTATGCTGTTCAATTTTGCTGACCTTATATTGATGAATAACTATCATGTTTAACCTGTCTTAAACAATTAAATATGTACGAGGAATAGAGTGCACGGTGTAATTTACCCTTTCCTGATAAGTATGCGATACTTGATGTAATTTAGATTTCCTCATTCATGACGCGCGCTGGTGTACAAAATTATGAGAATGGTATGTTAGAGCTTTTTTTTCATTTTCTAACACTTGTTCGATACCGCTGTTGGTGGACGGTTAGTGTCCGAGAGTATCATCAGCTAAGTAGTCATTTATTTGGCCCTGACATGATTTATAACATACCTTTTTTCAAATTATCTTTTTTACAAAGTTTAGAAATTTTCTAGAAATTAAGGTTGCAACTCCTTCAGGCAAAGTTAATTTTAGGTGGATTTGGCTATTCTTTCTGGCTCTCTATTGGTCATATAGCTGCTCAAGTATTTAAGTATTAACACATCTTTGGCTTTATATTATATGTTTTGAGCGTTCCAGATAAAGTAAATCCAGAAAAGGCTCTTCGGTTACACCAGCTTCAAAGAGTGTTATCATCATTTTCTAGCACTGGATCGATAGGACTGTTAATGCCCGACCGTATCATCAACTCAGTAATCAGTGTTTATAACATACCTTTCCGTTGATATGTATAGAAATTATTAAGAAACTAAGGTTGCAACTCCCTCGGGTAAAATTGACTTTTGATGAATTTAGCTATTCTTTCTAGGTCTTCTTAGCTTCTCAAGTATTAAAGTATTTGAGCACCCTTTGCTTTCAAATGTTTATGATTTGAGAGTTCCAAATGAAGGTAAATACAGAAAAGCTCTTCGGATGCACCAGCTTTAAAGAGTGTTATTTTCATTTTCTATCGCTTGGTTGGTGCCGCTTTTGGTTGAATGTTGGTTGACTGTTGGTTCCCAAGACTATCATTAGCTGAGCTGTCAGCAATATCAGCACTGACATGATTTATAACATACCTTTCTTAAGTTTTGAAATTATCAAGAAACTAAGGTTCCAACTCCATCAAGCAATGTTGATTGTGGGTGGATTTTCCATGACATGTTTACTATTGTTAATGGGTGTTTCCTCTTACTCTTCCTATCCTCTAATGATTTATGGTTGTCTATCTAGGACTTCACAAACATTTAGGAATGCCCTGATATTTAGTGCAGTCACAGCGGCCAATTTCTTATGGATGTGCTAGAAACGAGTCAAGAAAAGTAGTGATGACATCTGCAAGTTCTGGTCATATTCAGTGATGGTTATAACCGAGTAAATGAAGAACGGATTTTGGCTACGACAAATGGAACATGTCATATGTGATGCAGGGTAAAACAAGTAACAAAGATGAATTTAATAACATTCTTATACTGAACAAATAATATGAATAAATAAAAAGTCTTTTTCATCATTTTCTAAATGAGATAGAAATAAAAGTATGCTGATACTTATAAAAAAATGAACATACATGAAATGTAAAACAAATGATTTAGAATTATCGGTAATAAAATATTTGAAATGAATCACGGAATTCAGTTATTACGTGTTTTCAAACAGAAGAAACGCCCGCATGTACTCGTTTGATTTAAAGAGAGGCAAAAGAAATATGTAATAAATTGATTCTTACCTAAATATGCAAATTAAAAAAAAATGCGGATTAAACGTCATTGAGACAAAAATGTAACAAACCAAAATGGACATAATTTTGTATGTTTAGCAAAATTACCATTATGAAAATAAGGAGATGTGGTATGATTGCCAATGAGACAACTATTCACAGAAGTTCAAATAAAGTGGATGTAATCTTTGTTTTATGCTTCTTAAAATGATATCTTTGTTTCATGATTATGTTAGCACAGACCTGAGAAAACATAAAGAATTATATAGATAACTATAACAATATTAAGTCACTTCAACTAAGTAAGAAGTTTACTTGTTTTTAACAAACCATTTTATGAATATTCATGTAACGCTAGTGGCAAGACTTTCTACCTAAAACATGCATTTTCCTTTATCGATACCGATTGAACATATTATTTTATACTCAGTCTGCTGAAAAGGTACCAAGATTTTATAAATGCAACGAAATATACCTTGGTACAGCATGATGGTTTGAATCAATAAGAATTACAAAATATAGAAGTTTGGTATACATCAATGAGACATCAACAACGAGACACAAAAAAGCAAGTGTCAACATAGCGTTTTCAAAAATAGACAAGTGCATGTATAAAATATGACAAGATCTTAATTCAAATAAGGAATAGAAAAAAATCTGAAACTAGTCTGCCATCAACTACCGATTGAATAAGTTACCCCAATCCTGCTCAGATTCACTCTTATATAATTTCTTAATTTAATTTGTGCGAGGTAAAGAGGTTTTGTGTACATACTATGACAATATGAGTAATAAAATATGAAATCATTTTCATACCATTTATGATTTAACTTTAAATACTATGCACTTCTTTTTAAACATTTAGCATTTGATTGTCTCGTTCTCGAAAGTAGAAATGGATATTCCACTGTCATCAACCTCCGTCCGTGGTGTAGTGTCTTTATTGCAATTAAAGTCACGAAGTTCTTCAATTTTCGACGATTCTTCATAATGTGATAAAGCCGAATCGTGTTCATCTTCATATGTTAGGAAGAAACCATTATTATCCTCTGAAGGAGAAACGTCTGTGTGTCTTACATTATTTTTTTCTGAATACGTCTTATTATGTTTATGATCTTTTTTCTCCTCATTTGAACTTCTAATGTCACTTCTGTTTTTCTTTATTGGTGTCTTAACTGTTTTTAAAGTATTCAAATCCACAATTATCTGAGGAATTTCTTTCTCCTCGTCCACAGAACTGTGATCACTTCTTTCGGTGCTTACTGTATTTTTAACTGGTTCGCAGTTACTTCTACGTTTTTCCATGTCTGAATGCTCACCAAATAAGCGTCCTTCTACTCTAATGGTATCTAGTGGGGTTTCTGATAAAGAACTAGCAGTCCGTTTAGATTCCGAGCTTGCATTATGTCGTGGTTGTCTAGGAGTAAGGCTGTCTTTACTTCTTTTCGATGAAACTGATATGATACTGTTGCTTTCTTCAATTACATCCTCTTTTGATTTAAAGTTGATTTTTACGGAAATTTTCATGTCTGGACCAATTTCACTTCTTGTTGTCTTCGTTAGATTGCTTTCGTCACGTTCTGTGATGTCCGTTAAATTACATGCAATGCTCTTCTTCGTTTGAGCTGAAGTAGCACTTTCGTGGACTCGCAATAACTCTAAAGACAAAGTAGGAATCCTTTGTTCTGTGTCATCTGATTTTTCATCACTTTCTTTGTATGCAACAGGTTCGAAATTGTAGTTTTCATCATTTTGCGTAAACTCATTATCTGGGTCACCGCGAGATGAATTCTCACGAGAGTCCACATCTGCGAGGGTACTAGACGCTGCTCTGGAAGGAGGTGATGTCAGAGTGTTGATACCCAGTTCAGAGTTTTGACATTCAGAGTAGAGACTAGGATTTGGAACACGAGTAGGGGAAGCCGGAGATGTAAAAATAAATGGTTCATTGATGCGTTGCACTGATTTGATTGCAAATAGTTCCTCACTTCGTTCAGTTTCAGTTTCAGCTTCATTAAATAAATGTTTGTATTTGTTGTAAGTATTGTTTACACGCTGGCCCTTTATGAGGGAAGTTTTCACAAAATGAGGCTGCTTATCAGCATCTAAGACTCGCTGATATCGTCTTTGAAAATCTTGATTGCTGTTAATGTTTATACCACTATTGCTATTGGACCCAGTAGTGTTTATGGTTTGTCCAAATGCTATAGGTCTTTTTCTTGACAATTTAACACGATTTTGATAGCCTTGGAAACCAGCTGAAAAGATATAGGGCATTTCGGACTCGAGCATGTTAAACGCATTTGGTTCAAAACTAACATGCTTAAGCTCGTCTTCATTTTTGGATTTCTCTGATTCTGAACTCCCATTAACCCTTGGTAACAACTTAGTCTTTGAACGTTGTTTGCGTGGATTTATGGCCTTGCTCTTGTTCCATGGAGAATCGAGTGATTTTGTAATTGTTTGATTTTTATGATCTCGAACATCTTGAAGATGAATAGATCGCGAACTTTTTCTACTCCGAAAACTTGACGGAGAAGATTTTCTTGCACTCGAACTTTTTTCAAAGGAATCTTGAGCAACTTGTCTAAAATAAGAAAGACAATCTTTATGAAATATGAAAATTAAATAAAATTGTGTGTATCTACAACAAAACAACGATATAAATGACATATTTAAAGTCAGAAAAAGAATCGTATGACAAAAGTATATTTAGTTAAGGTAATTTTGTCGTAGTTGCGTATTTCACGTTTTCTGTTTGATTAATGCCTATTTTTAATGTTTCTGGAAATCGCTTACATTTCTTTCTCTGTCTATTTTTAGGTGGTCATTTGATTTTCTGTTTCTTACGTTAATATGATAGACGCTTTGTTGTTTTTAGCCCGGTATCTATGATGAGTTTATTAAGTCGTTGAAATATTTTTTTCTTTTTAAGTTTAAATTATCCAGCATCGTTATGTTATGTTATGGTAAATAAATCATATCTTAAGTAAAAAATATGAGCATAGGTAAAAACATTGAGACTTTGCTATGCAAACTTTTTTTTTTAAATTTCGAAGTGAATATTAAGCTTATTTAAGTATAACAACCAAGAAATAAAGATTCATCATTATGCCAATTAGTTGTGCTGTATTGTTGTACTTCTCACATTAGTCCGTGATCTCTCTGACGTCTGGCGGGCTTTTTAAGAACTTGTTGAGGCCATAGGACGTTAAAGTGCACCCATACAGAAAACATGAAAATTGCGGACCCGGACTTGAGTCGGCAAATTTCTGTCTCGAAATCGTTTTAGGTCCATTTTAAAGTAGATGAATCATACAGCATACGATTTCGTATTCAAATGTATCTACTGATGGATACCTTTTATTCACGAAATATCTCCATGTAGCACAAAAAATGCTTTATTTCCATCAAAATTCCATTTTTTTGGTTATTTCCTTTCACTTTGCACACGTTTTCATGTGACTGCGTTATTTCATTCTATGTGGATATAATTTTGATTATAAATAAAAGCATTGAATCCCAGTGAGCAGCATATATTAACGAGATCTGCCTCGTCGTCCAATCTATTGTGTATACCAATCTATTGAGTGCAAAGGATTACGTATACATCAATTGCATTGATTAGCTCCCATGATTACAAGTACTGGGAGAAATTAACTCAAGATCGCAATATATTTTAGAAAGTGAAAGTATGTTGCTGAAATTTTTTTTTTTTTTTTTTATAAGCCAAGGAAGTTAGTGATTAAAATGTACTCATTTGTGCAGAAACATTAATATGGAATAGAATGATGGTCGATTTATCTACTTCAAAATGGATCTAGTACAATTTCGGTACAGAAACTCGTCGCCTCAAGTCTGGATCGGCAATTTCAATGTTTTCTATATAGGCTCCATTCTGACGTCCCACAGTCCTAGCAAGGCCTAAAAAGAAAGGCCATCAGATGTCAGATCAATCTTGGACAAACCTCACATTTTCTTTGTTAATATTGGATATATTTGTGAATATGTTTATCAATAAAAAAAGTCAATTACTTTATCTTAATTGGCAGGTTATCCAAAGACTTGTAAACAGCTTCATTATTTCGAAGTCTATCTCGGTGAAGCTTTATGATGTATCTCTTGGAGATTTCCTCTTTTGATATACCCAAAGTATCATTTCGGTGTTGTGTTGTGCCAATGTGTGTAGGTGGCGCTCTCAGGGACAAAGATGGTGGGATTGTTCCTTTCCGCATTAGTTCCACTATATGAGGATCATCCAGATCCGCCATGTCATGATCACGACTGAAATATAAAAAAAAAACACAATTTGACCTTATAGATATGTATTTTTGATTTTAATGGTGGGTTAGAAGATACTATATGTGTTTGTTTTCTTTTTGCGTAAAAAATGACAATTATTCGCTATCTTTATAAATAATAACAATTCCATTTCGAACGATACGAATGTTTAATATAACCACTATGATGAAAAACAGTGGTAGGCCTCGAGTGCATATCATCTGGACTTACACGAGATTGAAATCCTGCTCAGAGTGGCTGTTTACATATAAAGAAGGGTATAAATTCATATCAACCAACATGTTCTCTTCCGGAATATACAATTTATATGAAAGATTATTGTCTGGGGGTTTAACACATATTCCTTCATCCATTCATCAGTATGATGTTCTAGTGCCAGAACAATTTTGTGCAATACCGAGCACAAAAGTTTTAGGAAGACCTGTTAATAGTTAAGAGTCATGTGGAAAAGACCAAAAGAGCACATCAGGGCAATTAATGCGACAGTAGTTTAACTACGTTCAAATCTCATAAACGGATAAGAAGAGACATGTTTATTCTTAACACACGAAAACTAGGGGAATCGCATGGACTAGAGAAAGGAACGAGACCGGGTGCGTCGACGGGGTATGCGTATCCTGGTTAAACAAGTGAATCTGTAAGCTACTGCTCACTAATGATACCCCCGCCCGCTGAAAGTATAAGGTAAACAGGAAGTTGTTGAGGTATAAATCTGAAAACGCATCACACTGTATAGCTGACTCATATAAACCCTGAAACCAAATTTCAGAAATCCTTGTAATGTAGTTCCTGAGAAAGATGCGACGAAAAATATTCATGGGACGGACAGATAGACTGACGGATGGACGGACAGACAGAGGCAACACAGTACAGCCCCACTTTTTTAAAGCGGGGGTATAACAAAGTAGTTTCAGAGAAGAGACAAACCCATCAAATGAACGTGTGATTTCAGCCGTCGTGGTGTATTAACCGACAAATGATATACATGGTATTCTGCTACACAATTAAGTCAGGTATATTATCAAAAATTTAAAGCCTTACATTACTAATTTATAACAATTCTAGCTAATAATTATGCGTTTAAGTAGAGTGTGAAGGAAAATGATATGTTCGTATTGAGAACGATAGTGACTTCCAAAGTATAAAAAAATCTAAAACTACTTACATATTACAACACAAGCACACACTATTTACTATATGTTGAAATTTACTGCTCATGTCAATAAAAATTTCTTTTTAAAAACTGTAATATTTGTCTCATTAATTTGTATCTATCTTCAAAAAATCTCATACCATTTCAAAAAAATATGTATGTTCTCCTATTCACTGTATTGTTAAAATGACAAAAAAAAACAATGAAAGCATGATTTTATTTGTGATATGGTAAAGAACCAGATAAATGGTTCAAGTTACTTATTTGTTAAAATGTCTTTGTCTGTAGAACAATACAAAGTAAGAGAAAACTGGTTGTCATGTTTGCATATTGGTTTTGTTTACAACTATTGGAAATAAAAAATCAAATTATTTTTGAAACACTTTATAACTCTGTCGTTCAATTGTCAAACCTTAGTATACTGTTACTTCATTTTGCTGTAAAAAAGTTATTTGAGAATTAATTAAAAGTTTATTACATTATTTTAACGCACTTTATAAAGCAGTAACATTTAAAGTGATTCATGAATTAGAATCAAATGTCTATTCAATGGTCTACTATGTTTTGAAAATGAAATGTATTACTATTTAATATCATAATGCACCCACCGTCAGTCAACATATAGGAAGAAGTCCGAAAAATACCACAAATCATTGCAACACAAAAACTTTGTCGATGTACTAAATTTATTCTTTCAAACGGTTTTAAATCAAAACCTTGGTCTATTGAGGATGTTATAATGTGATACAATGTGTATACATAAAATTCTTATGTACCATTGTATGCTTTCAAATGTCACCGAAAAATATTTAATATTTAATCACGTCATAAGTATCATCTATTGTGTTTTCATACCAATGACAAATACGTTATTTATTTCTTCCTATTTTGTTCCCAAGAACTAATGTTTGTTAAAGGTTAGCTTCTTAAAACTTATCTGTATCAAGGACCGCAGGAGTGAGAAGTATTAAGATACTTTCATTACAAAAGTATATTTTGTAAAGCATTATACTTTAATGTACAAATATTTAACAAAAATCTTTTGATTTTTAAAAGTACTTGAGCATTGTGACTTTATCAACCTTCAATAAAACCTGCGATAAGTGTTTTGATATCTATTACTTTACATAAGCTTAAAATCGAAAGTGAAAACATAATTGAATACCGACTTGCTAAAAATATAGCTGTCAGTTTTTGGTGTAGAGTAATTTAAATTTTCACTATGTTCTAAGTTTCATCTCTGAGTAAATTTCAAAAGAAACAGATACGTTGTTGTTTCATGATAAACTATAACATTGTAATTATAACTTCTGAAGTAGATTTGTTTAGGTGTGTTCGATACCAACATTTTTGAAAGCTAAATACCATGTGGACCCTTTGGCTGAAATGGCTGCATTTTCACTTCAAAATTAACTCTGAGTACAGACAAACCTGAGTATCTGGAAAAAATTTAAGGCATAGCATGCTCTAGATAAATAAAATTTAAGTACATTTTTTAGAAAATTAAAAACTTAAATGGATTTTGTACTGCACTTTTTCTCATTCCTCCAGAAGGTGCCAAAATAAACGAAGTTGGGAAAGAGGTTTGAGAACTTCCCCAAAGGTAATCCAGTTAAGTTTTTAATTTTCTAAAACAAAAAATGCATTTGGATGGAGAGTTGTCTCATTGGCACTCATACCACATCTTCCTATATCTATTTGAATTTTATTTATCTAGGGCATGCTATGCCTTAAAACTTTTCCAGATGCACAGGTTAGTCTGTGTTCAGAGTAAATTTTGAGGTGAAAACGCAGCCATTTTAGCTTATGGGTCCACATGAACCTTAAAAACATTAAAACGCTCTTAGTCGTCAATGCCTTAGAGACCCGAATCATTAGTGTGGTGCTCATGAATTTTATAAAGTTGACATTCCAATCGAAAGTTGTACCTTTAATAAATGTAAACCACGGTTGAAGGATTATTGTATCCGAGACGTTCAGCCCACTTTCAGTAATATTAACTGAGTGGTCTGTCGACTTATGGTCAGCTGAGTGATGCTATTATTATTAACTGATAGTCCACCTACAGTAAACTTGGTGATGTGACAAAGTATTGTCTTTTGGGAGAGGATATCGTCATAGTCTTACCGTTCACCTCCATTATTAACATTTTTTTATAGTTTGTTACATGTGATTATGGATAATCTACACTCAGACAGCAATCGAACAATAAAATATGATCGACACTATTTATTGAGAGTCCTCGATCAACGAACCCTTAAAATGTCATGGCCCAAAGTACACAAGAATGGTTTTAGAAAATGATAATCGATATTTGAGGAGTACCATTTAATTGTCACCGAAATATTTTGCTAATTAAGTGACATTTTATAAAAATACAGTTACATGCCAAAGGTGTTGTCACTGATAGTTATTTGATAATGAAATTACATTTGGAAAAAAAGAAAACTATTCATTACCTTAAAATGCAAATGTAAACGCCAATGTATCTGAAAATGACGAAACCACGTTATCAAAACAGTCCATGATCAGAAAACATGTACATATGTATATGTACGTCCAACACATCCAATTAGTATACTATTTGCATAATGCTAAGCCTTGCAATTCCCTCTAAACAGTATTAAGGTACTGCAATACTGCTACATTCACTAATAGTTATACTCTCACATACTGAACATAACAATAATAATAATAACACTAACAACTTTATCAAACATTTTAAAATTAATAATCAATAATGCTCACTTTGCGTGTTTAGATATCAAATAAATTGAGCTAAATTTGTGATGAAATTGTCTTTTTTCAATGTTTTCTGGTTTGGAGTAGGATGCATTTTTTCTAATTTTACTAGGCCAGTATTGTATATTTATCTTTTGGATATAAAAAGAAAAAATAACAAAAATACCGAACTCCAAGGAAAATTCAAAACGGAAAGTCCTTTATCAAATGGCAAAACCATAAGCTCAAACACATCAAACGAGTGGAAAACAACTGTCATGTTCCTGACTTGGTACAGTAATATGACACAGATAATTTCAAGGCATTTTCCATTCCTGTAGTTTTTGTTGGTTGCTACTGAATGCAACTTATTTCGATATACTGCTTATATATCAAGCAAAGTTTAATCAATTACATTACGCGAAATTGTTAAAATTTTTACTTACGATATTTCTGGCAATGAATAACTGCGAAGACCCATTACTTGCGAAATTTCCAGGCTAACATTACAAAGTTAAATTCAATTTTAAATTTGTTTTGAACGTATAGTTGATGTTAATAAACCTTCTATTTTGATTTTGAAAAATTTTGTATAGGTAAAATGGGTAGGGGTTAACGTTAAAAGGTGATAATAGAATATGTAATTTTAATAAAATCAATTTATCATGCTACTATCTTTAATCATACTGAGATGAATAATTTGATTCATCAATCTTGCATTGAAAATTGAAAGAAAGTAATGTTATACCATATCTCAAATCTAATGGGCTTCATACAAATTTTAAAGATTCATTTAGTAGAATAGCTCTGTTCTATTAGTGCAGGTACACGAGTAGATGTAAATTTTAAAACCGGTTCACTTGATAGTTAAATACTTATACGCTTTATGTCCACCTTATAGACAAGAAAAACCTATAAATAATTTCTTCAATTATGGAATCATTAGCATTTCATATAATGATCTATTTTAGACTTTTTTCAATTATTGTCATGTGCTGCAAGTCATGATTTTTAAAAGGTTCAGAAAAGTTTCAGATGATAATATCTTCAGAGTTTTGTACCCTTCACTTCTCTGTATGAATTACCAGCGAAGATCTGGTGTCAATTTAAACATAGTCAATCAGTCAATGACTATGGAATATATCTTTATACAATTGCGTAGGCAAAAAAAAAGTAATTAATAGTGCGTATAAATAAAAGGAGACGTGGTATGAATGCCAATGAGAGAATTATCCATCAAAGTTCACCGTGCGTCCTTCAATAATAAGCAAAAAAATACCGTATAGCAAGCTTCAATAGATGCCGTATAACAAAATTCCTAGTTCATGGTAAAAAAAAATAAAAAAAAACTATCATAACAGACAGCAACCAACTATAACCGATGGATAACTGGACCCTTGCTTGACAAAGGCACATAAAGAATGTGTGGTGTGTGTGTGTGTGGGGGGGGGGGGGGGGTAAACATGTTTCTCAATAATATAATTATCAACCCACTACCTTACATTGAACAGGATGAGGACAATCACTTAAATGGGTTTTAATATTCCGTTTGTGATATAATACCCCAAATTGGATGTAAATTTACTGTGCAAAAAAAAAAACGTTGCATGTATTTTATTCAAGGAAAAATATAACAAAGTGCAAATGATTACATAAAAGGAAACAAGTTTTGGTCAGCAACTTTTCTGAATACCTGGTTGCTTGTCAGTTTGATCCCTTGGAAGGTGCTGGGTTTTTTTTGTGATTATTTTGTGGCAACGTCGCTAACCAAAAATTGGTTAAATTCAAAAATAAAGATTTTTTGCACTGAATATTATTCAATATTTATATCCCATTTGGGTGATCGTCCCCAACCTGTTAAACAGTGTTTGTAACAGTACAGACATAATGCAAACTGTATCAATCAGTTGTAAAGGGATATACTCATTAGCTCTCTACTAAGCACAAGGAAGTTTAAAGCTCAATTTTGACTAATAAATTAATAGACCCGGCATGATTTAATTTTATTTAAAAGTCATCCATAACGGAAGTTTTGCAAAATAAACGACGAAATCGAAAGCAAATAACAAGGCGAATAGAAGAAACGTATTAATTTTTACCAATTCCTTTATAAAAGTCAGTATGATTGAATTAAAAAAGAAAACTTTAAATATAAAATACTATTTTAGTGATACGTACCATTTGATGAGATTTATGTATAAAAATTCCGCCATGTCACGACAAAAACATATTATATATATATTCCCTAAACGACAGAGCAGGTGTTAACCCCGTGTGAGACTCACTTAAATCGTAGAAGTATATATATAATCATTTTTATGTAGGAAAAACAAAAGCTAAAACATCAATATATTCAGGTTTCGGGTGACAATTAGGTTTTAAAGAGATATATTATTTATACCTTAAAGCTGGAATAATAACGTTATTATCACAAATGATTAACAAAACATAATATTATACAATGGGAGTGAATATTGTCAATTTTGCTTGCATTTAGAAATACTTAATGTTTATGTAATTGGAGAATAACCTTTTGAAATGTATTTTATTTAGATTTTGCATGCAAAGCATGCTTTTCTTTAAGTTTGTGTTTGCATATTATGGAAAAATGCCAAATTTTGTAGATATCGCATATATTGATCACAAACAAATGAAGGCACTCCAGGCTCTGTCTTTTTCGCACTTTTGTTTCCGATCTTCTGAAAGAACAATAACAGACCTTTCGGTATTACCTTTAATATTGGAAATAGGTCAATGTTACAGTTAAACGTATTTGAGTTCTTTAACTTTAATAAACTAATTACTAAGTTATTTGCGTAAAGTAACTTATAAATCTCTTTTTAATAAAAATCAAGTTATATATCCAATAGCCATTCATTTTAACATTATAATATCGATCGCCCTTGTACTTCAGTCTTATAACCATATGCCTGATAAATACAGAAAAAAACACTTTCAAAAATCTTTTGATTATAACTATCCGTTAACCTTTAATAGCAACCGCTCACTTCTAAAAATGTTCATACTGCAACGTAATTGGTGACACAAAAGCTCCAGAAACAAGTGAAAGAATACAATAAGAACAATATTTTCCAAGCCCCCAAAACCTACTTAATTTTCATAAAAAAAAACAAAAAAAAACATTCAAAGTATTTCCTATCAAATCTTTTTAACACTGAATCATGTAAATAATCAGTGAGAGAGAGTACGTACAACATTATATCACCAGTTTAACCATGTCGACGCAAAGGCTTAAACGTAAAGACTTATGGTTTATAATTCTCATTTCTTATTCAGACTATGATAACTAGTTTTTTCTGGACATGGTTAAGTTTGCGTAGAGGCTTAAAATTAATAATACTACTGAACATAAGGAGATAAGAAAATTTTATTTTTTCTTTGAAAGGCAAACCTTTTACAATAAACCATTATTTGTCGAATAAAATAACTATTTCACATTTATTTATTAGTTGCCAGTAGAAACCATCAATCTAGCTTTTTTTCATTTCATGGTGTAATAAGAAATTTTTATAAGACAATAAAAAATTCGCAAGACGGCTTTCGGTTATGTTTCAAAAATGAATACTTATAAAAATAGTCAAAGAAAAACAATGAGTTCTTCATAAACTACAAATGAGTACAATTTGAATGTTTTCTTTTAAGGATTTCTGATTCCATAGACACTGGAAAATAGTTCTCGGTTCTTTTAAGTGGTCATTTACTTTTTTGATGTTTGTCCTCAATGACGTCCCTTGAAATTTAATAAACAACCTTGAAATGTCCATGACCTTTTTCTATGTGAAGCGATTAAGTCAGTTTCGGCTAGGTCAACAAAAACAAATGATTGAAGGACGACTGTAATCTAGTTCAAGAAGTAACGGTGTCTTGTCTTTTTGTACTATATTTTTCTTCTTAAGGCACTAATATTATTTTGTTTGGAAAGGGGAAGGACATGCGTGTTTTTTAAATGTTTAATTCTTCATTTCTTGCGAGAAAAAAAATTGTTTCAGAAGGGAAGTGAAAAAGATAGTTTTAAAAAAAAACACGCTGATTTCTTAAAAGAAATTCTTGTTGCTGTTTTTGTTTTGGATTTTGGTTGACAAAATTTTTGGGCATGCCTTGAAAAAAACAATGACCCCCTTTAATACACTCAGTATTCATTTTCCATGTTGTGTTTGGTAAATTGTTGTTTGTCTTTTGGTGGTTTATCGTTTTTTGCTTGGCATTGTCATTTTGTCTTCGACTTAGTGAGTTTGACTATCCCTTTGGTAACCTCTACCTTCCTTTTAAAGTGACACAAAAAGCGGACTTCCAGCAACGGATATAACCTGAACAGACAAGAATTGTCGACAACCTCAAAATTACAGCCTTTGAATTGAAATAAAATGCATAACATACTCTTTCTAAATTCTGTCTTACGAAGTACTTGAAATCGACTACAGTATACATACCTGATAAATTCTAACAGAAATTCCAGGTGAACTCTGTCTATTCGTGGTTTAATCATTACATGGAAGTATTTTGGATTGCTCATGATGGTTCTGAGACTGGGCTCCAACAGATTTTATATATGTATATACCTTCCTCTTTCAAAACATCCCTTTCACTTTATTATATCTTATTAGAAATATTCGCATATCTTTCATATGAACTCATATAATTCCACATCTAAATTCCACAGTTACTTTAAATTTGAACAATGGTTTTTGATTTTACCACGATGTCTTGTAATTCTTTTTGGCGTAGTATTCTACCATTATAATCCATATTTGATTATGAATAATCCCATGATAATAAAACCTATTGACAGTTTCTTCGTGTAATTTAATTGTGTATCGCATGTGTTGTAAATACCATGCGATACCAGTCTGTAAGTGTATAGTCGGTCAAAAAGGTCACTCTTTCAATTTCATTTCAAGTTTTATTATTCAAATCAAATTAAAAAATACAATAAAAAATATGTTCGTACGGTTTTTTTTTTTGGCTCGAATATCTTTTTAACATCCACACATGAAAGATATAACCTGAGATAGAGTTATAACAATGGTTCTTTAAGACACTTATTATCTGCAAGTTCGAAATCCCAATTATAATTAATTACTCCAATTAAAAATATTGATATTAAATAATAGAAGATTTGTATTCAAGGTAGTGTATTATTTTCAACACTATTTAATATATACTTATCGCGGTAATGTAAATAAGTTCAATACATGTTACAGTATTAAAGGACTTTGTGTAATAATCCCTTTTGAAACTTTGTTAGTAGTAGGTCGCGATCGAGTCCAAATATTTCAAGTTGCAAACAAAACTTTTATTAATCCTTCTTTGTGAAAGTGAATTCAAAATACAATTTCAAACAATTGAAAAGAAAATTTTACTTTGAAAAATAAAATAAAACGAAAGCCTTGGTGAATCGATAAGAAAACGATTAACGCTGATAGTAGATCAAAAGTATTCCATATTTGTGGGTTTGAATGGACAAAATGTTATCTTTAATAGTGTCATGTTATTTTAAATGGGGGGTAATTACGGTCTCTGAGTTGTCCGTAAAGTTGAGTATACATTAGTTGAAAGTGGTGGTAAGTGGTAGTGTTTGCTATTGAATTCCTGAGATAGTAAACTTTCTCTATTCTTTGTTGAGAGTATCAGATTATAAACCCAAAGAACGCTTTGAATCACTTCTCTTTGTTTGAACTGAAATGCATTATACGTTGCCACTTTAGCATTGGTCCTTTTTTAAAGTAGTGCTCCGCCTGTTGAAACTACTTGAAATCGACTTGGGAGTAGACGCACTCATTACATTTTTCTGCTCAGTATGCATTGTAAATGTAGTTTGTTTCTTTATCTAGACAAAAAGTATGAGACAAAAGTAAACGATAAATTGATATCGCACCAACTTTCTTTTATTTATTTGGCATCTTTGATTTAAATAGAAATAAGAAGATGTGGTATGAGTGCCAATGAGACAACTCTCCATCCAAGTCACAATGTGTAAAAAGTAAACAATTATAGGTCAAAGTACGGCCTTCAACACGGAGCCTTGGCTCACACCGAACAGCATGCTATATAGGGCCCCAAAATGACTAGTGTAAAACAATTCAAACAGAAAACCAACGATCTAATCTATATAAAAAATGAGACACTTAAGAACCACATCAACAAACGACAACCACTGAAACAGGTAAAGCCTACATGAAAGTGATTCTAGAAGATCTTTTCGCACTCACTGAAATCAGTACCATACGTTTGAAAACTGTTTATCTAAAGTCGACATTCTTGTTGAATTGAAACATTTTTGAGCTTGCATGAAAAGTATTGGCTTGTTTAAAAGGAACGAAAGTTGCATGTTTTCAACCGCTTGTAGACTTGTATGGAGGACGACACCCCTCATTACAGAACCAAATAATATAATATCCTACTACACCAAATAAACTATTCGCCTAGGGTTTAAATTAAATTTTTAATTAATAATACCCGAAGTTAAAAAGCTAATTCCACAACTCTACTCCTAAAATAAATTCATAAAAATTTTTGAAATCCCGCATGAAAATCGTATGAGCCTCCCCACATGTTTATAATATTGTTAGTCATAATTGTTATAAAAATAAGGAAATGTGTATGATTGCCAATGAGACAACTATCCACCAGAGTTAAAATGACGTGGATACAAGCTATTATAGTCACCGTACGGCCTATATATATACAACGACGAGAAAAATCTAAACCGTATAGTCGACTATAAAAGATCTCGACACGAAAAATATTAAACAATTCTAACGAGAAAACTACTGTAACTGCTAATTTATAACAATACAATTAAACAAAAAAATATGACAGACATGCACCAACGACAACCACTGAATTACAGGCTCCTGACTGGGGACAGGCACATGCAGAATGTTGCAAATGGCCTAACTTAATAGATCGGTACGAAGCACAAAAAAAACCTCATAAAAAACAGATTCATTCATGGTCCGCACCTTTTAAATAACATCCAAATTGATTTATTCTGTATTGAAAAGCGAACTTTTCCTCGCTTTCAGTCGGTCAAAATGTTCAGAACAAACACATCATCAAATTCATTTTAGAACTATTTCCGTTTGAAGAAAACTTTAAATAATATAATCAGTTACCACGTGATGCAATAAATTTGACAACGATATTCGCACATGGCTTAATATATATCTGCGTTGTTTTAATAAAACTTTTTTGTTAATATTAGCTTAATGCATCTTTTCAAATTTCTAAATTATGATTGTAAATATTTGATAACAATTCAAAGGGTGCCAAGTGACCAACGAATTTGAAAGTACCTCGTGGTTTATTTATATGACTTGCATAAAACAACATTACAACGATTACTAATTACCAAACAGTTTTTACAAGGTTTGTGTCTTCCTGTTTTGTTTTTGAAGTTGCTGTATGAAATCTTCTATGAAGTTCAGCAACCGATATTAGATTGTAGGATGACATATTTTCTTACCAGCAGGTTAGGTAATTTGATCTGGCTTTCAGTTATTCTTTATTTTTTACAGTATATTATTGTTTATGATTTTGTGTGTTTTATAGATCTGTTATACCGTAATGTTAGAATTAAGAGCTTTTCTTGTAATATTTATGTTCTTTATGGACGTTTTGTTAGCCCACATATTGATATTAAAAGGAGAGATGTTTTAGATCTTAAAAAACTAGTTCCGCCCATCATTTTAATTTAGCTGTTCAAGTCAGGAACCTTGTCAGTGGTTGTCTTATGTCATATTATAATGTGGGTGTGTTTTGTTGGATTTTTTGTTGTTGTTTTTGTTTTTTTAGTTATTTACACAATTTGGAGTTAATAGCAGATCCTTGCTGCTTTCTGTTTAATTTATTCACAACTTTTATATAATCGTGACTATTTAGAGCTTATAGACTGTACGCTGTCCTCTAGATATTTTTGGGGTTTTCATTCTGTCATTGTATTAATTCAATTTTAATAAAATGAGATATGGAGTATACGTCAGTGAATCAGTAGTCAGACAACCATATAGGATTTCTAGATTTTAACAAACGGTCAACAATGCATCATATATAAAGCTTTCAATATATTTCCATATTGTTTTATAGATTTAATGGCTGTTCCTACTTTAAGGTAGTTCAGGGGTATAGAAAAGAAATGACAGAATTTTCTTATACTTTGCCAAAATGAAGATTTTACTATGCTTTTTAAAAAAAAATGATAAAAAGTATGGGTCACCGCGCCATTTTTCAAGGTACGAGTCATTCAAAATTGCCAAAATTTGCTTAGATTGTTCATGAAAAAATACATTTTTGTGCATAAAAAGAAATCTATGAGACAGAATTTTGAAATTAAATATGAGAAGATAGGTTTTATAATATATTTTAAGAAAATAAAAAGAAAAAATGGTGTCACCGAACTTGTTTTCTTGCTACAAGTAAAAAATGAAAATTTCCCTATATGTCCAGTATAAATTTTGTACTAAAAGAGTTGTCTCCCCTTAAATGGCTTATTTGAAAAATTAATTCTAAAAGCAAAACTATTTGGTATTTGTTAAAACCGTTCTGATAATGCAATGAATAACTTATTTTTCTTTATATAAATAAACAGTGTTACCAATAAATTGCAAATCTGTCTCCAAATTTGCAGATTTGAGCAAAGAACTAGACCGATTATTTACTGTGATTGTACAATTCAAGATGGCGGTATACCCCTGAACTACCTTAAGTATCAATTTAAGTATATCTTGTAAAAAGCCAATTAATGTTACTTTGAATTGTACTTTGAAATACCTTATCAAAAATATTACTAGTGTTTGCCTTGTACAATCTTGAAGTAGACTATGTATTGAATATTTTTGCAGCGTAATATTATACAATTACTGTCTTTTGATGAGGTAAATGTGTGGTTTTATTGACTTTTGAAAAACTGATATTCACTGAGGCCAAGGGCCGAAGTGAATGTCACTAGGTTTTTCAAAAGTCAATTAAACCACATATTTACCGAAACAAAAGACAGTAATTGTTTTATTCCATGTTCCGAGACAGAAAATATGTGTAAAATAACAGTTATTTACCAAAAACAACTAAACGTCAAACATTGTATCGTTATTATACACGTAAAAGCACGCGACGTTTTGCGCGGTGAATATACTTTTTCCGCAGGTGAATATGCTTATTTATTCAAAATCCCATTCATATAGAAAAACCTACTAAAGTTCTATCAATATGGAATAACTGACATTATTGTTCCAATGTAACGTTAATTCATTCAAGTAAATGTGGTATATAGTGTATTAGTCTACCAAATATAAAACCAACGATTAATCTGAATAATTGAGTTATAGCCCATAACATATATTCAATAAAAACATTTTTCACATATTCACATGGCAATTTTATATGATTGAACAAATGAGTTCAGTTGTGGGGTATACCAAAGTGGCGGATCCAGGATTTTACAAATGGGAGACCCTGTAGCCAAAAATCATAAAATGCACTTAATATACAAAGTTTCTGCTATAAATGGGTCGTCTTGGTCACTCAGCTCACCCCTGGATCTAACTCGACCCTTCATCAACACCAAATTTTCTATACGACCAAAAACAGTAAGGTTAACTATGAGAGAATTACTGAAATTGGACTGACACTGGCACATGTTAGATATATGTGTGAGTGCGACAGAATTGTACTGCAGGAATGAATGATGTTTAATGCTTTATTTATATTAATACGAGGATTCTCAACAATTAAAGGACTACTATAGCTATTATCCTCATTTTTTTTTCATAAGGCATACATACATATGACAATTTATACTTCAAAGCAAAGTGTTATAGTGTTCGTCTCCGTCAAGGATCTACCTTATAGACGGAAAATTAAATATATTAGAATGTAACGCCCTACTGTATAAATCAAACTAC